TCCCTCGTTTCCACACTCTGTAAATTTGGCCAGTGGGACTTCGGGATTTCTCACAATGACAGGGGAGTCACGCAAGGCCTGTTGGGATACAGGGACCACACGACGGGGCCCTCCGTCTGGAGTGAGGGGAGAAGGAGGGGTCGGGGACACCAGCAGAGGAGGAGGGGAGACATTAGTAGAGGACGGTGGCCTGCTGGAGGGGGTTGTCACTCCTCTGGGTCGGGAGAAGGTGGGTGTGTGTGTGCGGGAAGCCTGTGTGTGAGGCGACAGCACCCTGAAGGAGCTGTTGAGGTCCCCCGACTCCTGCTCCGTCTTGGGTGTGTAATCATGGTGGTGTGAGGGGAGGGGAGGAGGAAGAGGCGCGTCGGGCTTTCGTTTGCTGGGGCTCATGGGGACCGTAAACATCAGGTTGCTGTGGAAGGAGGGCTGGATACCTGAAGTGTGTCTCTCCCTTTCTCCTCCTCCAGCTGATACCTTACTCCCCCCTGCTCCTCCCCCCCCTGTCCCGCTGGGCTGCCTGTGCCTCCGGTGCTGCAGGATGGGGGAGGCGGTAATCGGGGAGAAGTTGGCCGGCCTGAAGCCAAACAGTGGGGAGGGAGAGGGAGAAGGTGCGGGTGAGAAGGGCGACTGGTTAGGAGATGGGAGAAAAAGAGGGGGTGCCAGATCGAGAGCTCCCTAAAGACACTAACATGGTGGCGGCCTCACACTCATCGAAGTCAAAGCGGGACGAGAGGTCATGGGGGAGGATGGACGGGAGAACTAAGTGGGGTCTGGAGTCTCCCCTGCTACCTGCCTCGCTGCTCTCTCTTGAGGTGTCATCCCACTCAAACTCACTGCTGGCTCTCCCCCGCAGGTCAGGGGTGACTGTCCCTGAGCTGCTGCCTCCCCCCCCTCCTCCCTCCATCTCTTTGGTCCTCATGGACAGGTGTCTGGAGCAGTAGCCCCGGCGCTGGGACTCCTTCATGCATCCCTCCCTGGAGCACAGCCTCCTCCACTGCTTCCCGTTGAACTTCTTACGGATCCCGTTGGGGGTGCACACCACGTCGCCCTTCTTGTATTTCTGCTGAGCCAATGAGAGGGGGGTCCTGGAGCGAGAGGAGGTAGAGGAGGACCCCACACCAGAAGTGGGAGTAGGGGTCTGAGTGGGAGTGGTCTTTGATGGAGGTAGGTTAGGTGTGGTCGGGCTCATTTCAGAGACCAATAAGGCCGGGGAATGGGGTGGCTGTGGGCTGGCGAGGGTGGAGGGGTGAGGGGGTCCCAGGCCTCGCACCACAGAGAGGTGGGGGGAGGAGGGGGGGTAGCGACTGGACTTGGAGATGATGTGTCGGTGCTCAGAGGTGTCGTCGTTTGTCTTGGGACCAGCAGTGCTAAAACGGGACACCTCGACGTCCTCTTCCGGAGTGTCGGGCTGCTTCTCTCTCTCTCTGTTGGCGGAGTTTTCTCCATGAACTGTGCTGCCGGCGACGCTAGATGACGCAGTGGAGGAGTGGGGGGTCGGGAGTGCGTTACCATAGGGATGCCCTCCTGCAACCCCTTCATGTGAGAAACCATGGCCCAACCTTGCTCCCCCTCCCAGCACCCCCATCCCAATACTCAACTGGCACACTTCCCTTTCGACCTCCATCTCCTCCCTCCGCTCCCTCTCCTCCCTTTCCCTCTCCCGCTCTCTCTCTTTGGCCCTCCCTCCGTCCAACTGTTGGACCTCCCAGGGAGGGGTGAGGAGCCTAAGACTTTGTCGGGACACCCACACAGCCAGAGCTTTCCTCCCCTCTTTCTCTTCCCCGAGAGTCTCTGCGTCTTCACTCAGGAGCACCTGGTAAGGAAATGACACACCGGGGTGGGGGTCCACCTGAATGACAACCCCCTCTCTGTACAGCAGAGGACCCCCCTCATCTCCCCCAAAGGGCACGCATACTTGGGTCCTGACAGCCACAGGTGCCAGGCCGGGCGGGGGGGCGTCCAAAATGAACTCCACAGTGCTCTCAGCCCCTGAAGGTGATGCCATTACAGTCCCACCATGGAAAGGGTATTTAACAAGGGTCTCCTCTCCTTGGAGCTGCACTTCAACTGTTTCTCCACTCACACCACGCACCACCCCTGGTCTGAACGCAGGTGATAAAGTCAAAGAGTCACCCCCATTGTTCATTCTCCTCTTTGGCCGGCGAGCAAGAACTCTCTGGTTCTTCATGCCTTTGGCCAGAGCTTCAGCGAGTCCCTCTGACAGACTGGGCGACTTATGGTGCGACTTATGGAGAGGAGCTGGGTAGTGGGAGTTCTTTTGATGAAGGTTTGGTCCTGTTGCTTCCATCGCGTCCAGGTCAGCCGAGTGCTCGCTGGCTGTGTCGGTGGATGAGGAGCGTGCTGAGTGAGGGGCCCCCTCTGACTCATTTTCCCTAGCTTGGGAATCTTTTTCCTGGGAATCTGCTGTCCTGAGGGCTTTGTCCTCCGTGGAAACAAAATGGTTTGCTTCTGTAGCTTTACTATCCACAGTTAGCACTGATGGCTGATTACCTGAGCAAGTATTACTTCTACTATTACTGCTATTGATAAAAGTATGGCTCCCAGCACTACTGTTAGTCATGTTGTTAATGCCACTTGTAGTGTTACTCGTAGTACTATTGATGCTTTTATAATTTGTTATAATGTTTTTGGAATTATTATTGGGCGCATTAATAATACCACTGATTCTGTTATTAATAGTGCAGTAACTGTTGTGTATGAGTGCAGGGTTGGAGGTAGTAATGGTGGTCAGGGCATTGTTAGCAAAGTGCTCATATGTGTATTTTTTCTTGGGTATACGAGCCTTGAATGTGGCTGTTTTCCTACTAGAGACTGAGCCTACACTGGGGATGTGATTGGTGGCCGGAGGGGGCGTGGCTGTGGAGAGTGGCGTCGGGGCAGAGGGAGGAAATGCTACAGTATTAATGGCCAAAAGATTATTTCCATTCGTGCCAACTATCTTCTCCTTTTCTGTCTTTTCGTCTGCCTTCTGTGCTATTTTCTCTCCTGACTCCACAGGTTTCCTCAGCTCAGTCGCCTCCTCCCCCCTGGGGGTATTGCTATTTGTGATTGGTTCTTCGTTAGTGTTCAGGGCTGTTGGCGGGGTCTGTTTGCGTGCGGGGATGTTGGGTGTATGCTGTGTGGTTTTGACGAGCGTCTCCCTCTTGACTCTTTTGGGGTCTTTCTCTTGGAGGGGCTGCGAGCCTCCTCTCCTTTTCCCCCCTCTGCCTCTCGTTAACGGGGGTGAACGCCCTCTGTGCTTCTTTAGTGGTCTCATCTCTTCTTCGCTGTTCACAAAGTGCAGATGTTGTTGCGCTCCTCTCTTTCACTCCTAAGGCACTCCTTTTGCTGTCTCCCTCTTCTTTTCCTTGTCCCCTGTTCTCCTGTCCTCTGTATTGCAGGCTGGAAAAGAAGAGGGAGACACAGAAGACAGGTGGTCATTTATTATCTTCATAATCAAAAATTGCTGACAATAAAAATGACGTCAGTCCTGGAAGTGTGCTACACTGCACCGGCTATCACATTGGCTCTAAATCTGACGTATGCTCTCAATGACTGCCTGATATACATGCAAGCATGACTGTGTTTGTTTCTCCATACATGCCAGTTTGTATAGTCAAAACATAAATGTCTCTTTTTGTTATCCACCATTTAGACAGCAACCTATAACATCCATATTTTTCTCCAGACGTGTCATATTTATCTTAATATTAACCCATAAGGACCCACCGTGACACGGGTGTCACATGAACTTTAAATGTTCCTTATACAGCTTTAGTCTTTATGTTATCTCATGAAGTCCCTAAGTGACACACCCTGAACAGTCTGGTGGGTCATGGTCCAGGTCATGTGATTTTGTGTTCCCATAACAACATGTCCAAGATGTCCATGTGCTAACACATGTGACATAACGAACTACATTTCAAAAGCTTTTGTAGTTGTTGCTAAAGGTAAAATTCAAGCCATTTAAGAATGAAAATGCTTACATAACATGTCCTTTATTACATTGAACCTGTTGTGGAAACATTTCTTGATCAAATTGATATGAAACAAATGAGACAAACATCGCGGTGACACTGATGTCACATCGGGACTTTAACCCTAAACTTTCACAGTAAACCCAAAGTGACATATAGGCTATGCACAATTAGAAATATGATTAAGATCTGCTCAGTTAATTTAGCTGATCAATTATATTGAGTTAATATGTTCTTATTCTTCAATTCAAAGAATGTTCAAACTCATTTAAACCAGAAAATCTTCCTCATTAATTAAGTTAAAAATAAGAGTTATTTTTACCATTAAAGCCCAATGTCACATTTCAGATATTTGACACTAGGGGGGGGTTCTTGTCAGAAATGTGTTCGAGGTGGTCTAACTCTATTTAGTCTAAATCATGTTCCGCTTAATTTCCCCAAAAGTAGAAATGGGTCCGGGTTCTTATGGGTTAAATGAAAAAGTAGGAACATTTTTATATTTAACAATGTACCACCTAGAATTTAGGAATACTATTGAAGGATATGTTAATAAATCACACTTTCTAGATTTCTATGAGCATATTGGTTCTTTTCTTTTCAAAATATTTGTATTAATTTTCTTGTTCAACACAGAAATCGGCATAGGAATAAATAATTGTATATCATTGCTTACATTTTCGATTGTTACAATTGGTAAAGGCCAATTAACGGATAACATTACAAGGAAATTGGGCCAAAATGACGATTCAAAGAAAGAAACTTGAACATTCAAGGTCACTCGCTTCGTTGTGCCTCTTAAAGTACTCCATTATCCAAAAGGTCTGCCTTTAACGAGGCCTACAAGACACACACACAACACACACACACACACACACACACACACACACACACACACACACACACACACACACACACACACACACACACACACACACACACACACACACACACACACACACACACACACACACACACACACACACACACACACACACACACACACACACACACACACACACACACACACACACACACACACACACACACACACACACACACACACACACACACACACACACACACACACACACACACACACACACACACACACACACACACACACACACACACACAACACACACACCACACACACACACACACACACACAACACACACACACACACACACACACACACACACACACACACACACACACACACACACACACACACACACACACACACACACACACACAGTGTGTTTCAGGCTTGATTTTACATTTTCAACGTCGGACTGCAACAGCCACACAGCATTTCATTTTACTTCTACGGGAGGGAAAGGCCTGGCAATGGCCTGAGTGAGGTAACCCTGTAACATGTGTGTGAGAGAGAGAGAGAGAGAGAGAGAGAGAGAGAGAGAGAGAGAGAGAGAATCCGGCTATTTGGCTGTTTGTTCAAATAGGCTGTTCTTGTGTAGTCACTGGGAATTTCCAAAGTCATTCTAGCACTCGCTGGCCCTCTCTCACTCTGTCCCAATGTCTCAGTCTTTCCCCATCGTCCTTTATTATTTGACTAACACACACATCTACAAAACGACAATATAATTGGAATTATCTGCCACGGTAAGATACACCCAAAATGAGGGAAAGTAAAAGGCTGGCTCTGGATCAGGCACACTCACTGATGCAAGATTACAGGCTAAATACAGTCTACACACACAGGCAAACACACACACACACACACACACTTGTTCTCACACACGTACATATGCGCTCCCCTCGACTAAGCTCATCAACATGTGCAGATGCCGAGCATTTCTACAAATACAGACAAACACACAGACAAACACGTAGACAAATTCACACGCTACACATTCACAGTTCCTCTTCAAGACATCGGAAAAGTTTGTCACACATACATAAGATGACCTTGTCGATAACCGTTATGTAACAAAACATACACAACATAGACCCGTATCGACAGCACTCCCACTTTCTGCAGTACAGAAAAGCATTTATTTTGCTCCTGAATGGCTAAAACCCAACCTGCGTCATTCACACACATCCCTGGCCCTTTGTTCTGACCTCTGCCCTCACACACGACACAGCTTTCATTTCCATTTATGAAAACCTCCCTTTTCATAATTTGTTTTTACTAATTGGCGAAATAGCACTTAGTATGTAGCTTAATGTGTGGAATTGATCTACAGTTACTGTCATGGAGCCATTTCAACGCAATATCTATGCCTTTATATGACCTAAAAAATATTTTGGAAAAGTATATAACTCTCTGCCACTGTCATACATTTACCTTCCCACTTAGCAGGTTACACCGTGCATTATACGACAATAACAAATACAGAACAATTAGAACAACCTAAAATGAAACTCCTCATCTAATCTAGAGGGGATTGTTGGTCCTGTCGTCGCCGTACTGCACTGAGAGACAGGAAGGAGTCAGAGCCACTTGACTGGATGTCTGCTGGACTGAATGACTTGGGAGGATCTGATCTTAGCTTAGAAAAATGTGTTTGGTCATGCTCATGGCCTTTACAAAATGCTTGAGGCTTTGGCTGATAAGCCAGTTGCATTTATGTGTATTCACTTTATATAACTCTTACGTTACTGTAGTGCACTAGAGTATGTCCGAAACATGTACATATAAGAGGAGTTTCAGAGTTAAAACTACTCAGAGAGCCTCATATGTGGTAGTTAAAAAGGGGAAACATGTAATCCTCAACCATGTGTTCCCATTTGTGAATCCATTCCTCTTAACCACAGAAATTCATTTGATATCACAGACAAAATATTAATTTGGTCAGACAGAAATGTTAAAATAAAGGACAGGGTAGAAATATACAAATGCATGCAGGAGGTATATAATTGCAGTGCTGCCATATAATACATTAAATAATATTTTAACATTTTACATAAACCTGTTCAGATCAAAAGCATCACACACGCAGTGTACGATCCACAAACATCGCCTTCATGGAAACAACTGCAGACCTTTAACTCTTAATGTTTGTCTGTTACAATTAGAGATGCAGAGAGCGCGGCTAAATCTCTTATCTCGGGTTTTAGTGCATAAGTTATAAGGATTAAAAATATAAAGGAAATTGTTGGAGAATCCTGACTGTCCTCTGGGTCGAGACGAAACAGAGAGGAGCTCAGTCATAATTTAGACGATTCAGGACGTCTGCACCTTCCGGCCGCACAGCAGGTTAACACTGAGATATTTGCTGCTCTGGAATAAAGCTACTGTAAATCCCTAATAGACGAATAATCGACGGCTATTGTCTCCATGGCGTTGGACTGGAGTCCCCCTTAAACAGCAACACAAAAATGCTGTTTCACCCAACACAATGCAACCCCCCTCCACAGCACAGCCACATCAAACTTTACACACACACTAAATGCTCCCCGTGGAATTTACAGTGCAGTCATGCATACACTGTTAAAATCTCCCTTGGACCTATATTGCCTCACACTCACACATTCATTGTGCCGTTAAAAAACACACACACACACACACACACACACACACACAGTATGTTGGAGATCATACTGGCCAGTGCAAGTTTTGCTTTTCTGTAAAGTAAACATACCAAAACAAATTATGACTTCTATGATATTGAAATTACAAATATAGATTTTCATGCAAAGAGAACCTTGCCGTGATTTTTGAGCAGGTTGGACAAGGGAGCAAACACCTACACACACATACAATGGTCATTCATAAGGCAATCTTATGTCAACACTTCAGGAAGAAGAAGTTGTACACTATCTATTACTGGATTACTGGACTAACCAACCCTAAAAGACCTCCACCTTGATGCCAGTTTCTCCGAGCATTTCGAAGAGAATTTAGCCTATGCCCCACCGCAACAAGCACAGGCTGTGTGTGCGAGACGTTTTGGCATTTGAGCTGCCTATAATACACAGGGCATATGACTGTATGCAGCTGTCTTCAGATTGTGTCTACCCTCTTGAAAGCTGCATTTGCACTATATGTCAGCGTGATTGTGTACGTAGTTACCAGGCACACTGCAGCTCATCCCTCTCCTAAAAGCGTTTTATGGGTGTCTGTATGGGCGCAGGGCTGCAGTGACGGGGACAGGGATGGAGAGGGAAGAAGGTTTGTTGGTGATACAGAAGAAGACAGTATGTGACGGTGAAGCCTGCCGTGGTGCCCTCGTACTCCAGCTTGGCAGGGCGGCTTTGCCCTTAACTGGGTCAGCGGGGAGCACACTTACACATGAAACAGCAAAGAAAATAACATGCTCTCTGTCTCACACACTTAGGTGTATGCAATCATGAGTGAGTGGGATGTGATCTTACATGCAGACGAATAAAAGAGACCATTTCATTAAGGTATTTTGGGTTTGCAATAGACAGAGCTGCAAAGTGTGCGACGGAGACCATCCATTGTGACGTAGTATAAACACTGGCAGCTCTTTTGTGGGTGGCATATCTGGCTGTAGATATTAAATCAATAACATAGAAACATAGAGGCCTGGAATTTGTGCTTTTCTGTCCCATATTGATCATGAGGCTGTAGCATAGATCAGAGGTGACTGTTCCTGTTTGGGACCAAATGGCAGAACTGCCAATGCCACATCAATGACCAACTGCTCTACAATATGCACAAATGCCTATACCATCAGAGATGTGTCTGCTGCCTATACTAAAGTAATTATGAGGAATGCATGCCACAGTGTGAATCTGAAGGACAGATGAGGACATTTTTTTGTCCAAATGTCAAAAACAAGCATTCAAATTCATGTGACAACCAATGAAAAACATGACTGATAAATGTATGTTAGAAAATAGTCCAGTCAGGGATGAGTTTGGGGTGCATTGACAGTGATTGCAGTGCAAAAAAGTCGAGGGAAAAGCCGAGAAAACACGGATTTGCAACCCGGGCTTCTCTGCGCGAGTACTACGAGAGGCGCTGCACAATGTCAAAGGAGTATTATGACTCGAGGCAGTCAGCCGGTCTGCTCGGTAACAAACAAAAACAACCGGTTTCAAGTGACGTTTTATTATCCCAAACTAGACGGGCCTAATTATTTCTTACACAGAGACGTTTGGCATGCAAATATCCACTACGCAACGCCTATAGTGTTTACACGAAACCACTCCGGGAAGCTTCCTTAATGGAGGACAATGTCTGCATTAGAAACTTGGAAAATAGCATGCATCTTTTTGGTGGTTTCGCTCTAGTAAGCAGCTCGGTAACGTTAGTAGTAGTGTTGCTGGTGGTTTGTAGTAGTCGTAGTACGGTAGCAGACTACTAGTAGCCTACCCACATAGTGACACCGTCACCAGACCACAAGGAAACAGGACGCTGTTTGTTTTCCAGTTTTTTTCCCAGGTCCTCATTTTATAAACAGCAAATTAGCTAGTGTTGCTATTTAGTAAACATTTGGGCTGCAATGCTGCGAATAGGTCGATAGCTTTTTACTAGCGACGCTTCTACTCGAAACTCGGAAGCTGTAAGGTGATGGAAAAGTAGTCAATATTCACCACAATTTTGTAATGTCACTCCGAAGCGAGGTAACATGTTTCCCAGTCGTCCATGGTACTGCGGTAAAAACATTTGAGAAAGTTTTTAGGCTGTTACACCCCCACCCCTCCCCTTTCTCTCGGCTCTTCCTCGGCTCGCAAGCGGTGTCATTTCTTCGGACGTTTCGGAACAAACGGTCGAACGTTGGCAGTTGCTTCTCGACTCGAATTCTTTGAAATTTAAAAATCCGTGTCAGTTGAGCTTCGAGTCGTTAACTAAGTTTCAACTCACCCAAACAGAGCTTTCCCCCTTCGCCACAGGAAGATTTATGGTCCTATTTTGCTGATGAGGAGGCTGGCACAACTCTCGGTAACATCCCTTGGCTGTCGGCTTTGACGACTGCGCGGTCCGGACTCACACTTTACTTTTCCTCCGCAAAACATGTCTTTCCCCCACAGAAACTCAAACAAGGCTATAAAAAAACTATCGGTCTTCTTTTCCACTACAGTCACAAAATGGTGAATGAACCACTAACAGCTGGGCAAGGCGACCAATCAGAGGTCACTGACAGGTACAGTAGCCAATCAGTGGCTGCGCAACAGAGAAAGGGGCGTGACGGGTTGTCAAAGTACAGTTGACAGACTGGGGGATCCAGCCAATGGCTGCTGGGATGCTGTGCAACACCGGGTTCCTGTCCCATACTTTACAGTATCCAATAAGAGCGTTGGGAACCATAGGAACAGCACGAGGGAGGGTCGAGAGGAGGGAGCTAATCATTGTGAGCCAATCAAAAGGCACACATGCCCCTCCTCTTCTGAAAAGGAGTATGTTTACCATAATTGACAGCACAAGTGCCATCCTTAAGCAGACGGTGATAATGCATCATCCATTCTCCTTCTCCACATTAAAGTTGGTGCAGCAGGATTAAAGCACCACAATGCATTAGTGTGTACTCCCAGCCTCCTAACTGTTGCATTGTATGAGCTGTTTTGTATTCTTATTTTGAGGGAAATCATTGACAAAGTAAAAAGGAGCATGAGTGTGCGATTTAAAAGTTTGTTTAGGAGGTGGACAACACTTCTGTGGTGCAGCCGACGCATCGCTGCTCGTTGCAAACTGCTCTCCCTCTCTCCCTTTTCTCTCAGCAACAGACGCTGACTTTCACCGCATTTAGCCAATCACGGCGCAGCATCCCGCTGGCTGTGACGTCGGTAATCTCCACGCCCCGCCTACTCCAGTGAAAGTGAACAGGAACCGAGTGACTGACGTCACTTCACCGGCCGGCGATTGGACAGGTGTAAGAACGTCTCGGAGCCAATGGGTGAACACTGTGGTGATGTCATCACGAGTGTTGCCACCAGCTGGACCGAGGGGGCGTGGCCTGGCGTAAACTCGGCTAACCCCGTGTTTGTAATTTACAGGCATTGGTGCTTTAGAAAAACCGTTGTGTTAAGAACTAACCAAACTATGTGTGTGTGTTTGAGATGATAACACGTGCGTGATAAGGGACATCCTTGCACGTGTTTGATTTATGTCATCTGTATAGTAAGCTTTAACCTCTGCGAAGAAGAAGAAGAAGAAGAAGAAGAAGAAGAAGAAGAAGAAGAAGAAGAAGAAGAAGAAGAAGAAGAAGAAGGAGAAGAAGAAGAAGAAGAAGAAGAAGAAGAAGAAGAAGAAGAAGAAGAAGAAGAAGAAGAAGAAGAAGAAAGCACGCTATTTCGGCAAAGATATATTGCCATAATAGTAAATATTACATAATTCCTGCTCTGTGTGTAGTAAAACCAGACTCATGCTGAGGCAGACAGCCATGCGGGAGCAGCGCCTCTTGTCGGTGGGATTTGATGCTGTTCTCTCACTCAATATCAGTGTTGGTAGAGGACTGAACAAAAAACAGAGGAAAGTTCTGATTGGCTGAAACGAGCTGTATATTGTGTGTTTTGATAAAGAGAGGGAAAGACCGAGGCTGGATGTTGATTAAATGTTGATGTAGAGTGACATCTAGTTGTAATTGTTCAGCACTGCAACGGGCATGTACTTCATACTTGACTTTTAAAAAAATGTTTTACTTCACTACAATAACTAAAGCTTTATTTAGTTAGTGTTAAGATGTTTGCACACAAAACATATGCTGATTATTCCATTTATAAACATAATTATTGTTTGAGTCATTCTGCATGTAAAAAATGTACAGATTGTTCTGCTATGAGGGCTTTTACTTTTTTATACTTAAAGTATTTTTAACTGATTATACCTAGATATTTGGACCTAATTTACACATTCAATGCAGGACTTTAAGGACAGTTTGGTTTATGTACTTTTTACTTAAATTAAGGAATGTATTTTGTAGTTTATATTATTATTATTACTTATTCATTCATTTACAGTATGCAGTATATTTTGTATTGTTATTGTCATTTTCTACTGTTATTTATGTTTGTTATTCCTTGTAGTCACATTTTCTCTTGTTTTGTTTATGTAATGCATAGATACGCTAATGCACAGTTCTTGCACGCGAAAACCGGATTCTGATAAACCTTTTGAGTTTTCATTGATGAGCCTTATTTTACTTTTTAAACAGTTGTGACCAGGATAAGTACTGAGCAGAACATTAAACAGTTAAAAAGTAGACTTTTCAGTGCTCTCTGGTGGACAAACTTTGTAATTATAGAGAACTTACTAACTTACTGTATAGGGATACCCTCTCTTTTGGCAACAACAAAACAACCTTCTATGGCTATGATATATATAGCTAAATATTCTTTCATTTTTATGTATTCATAACTATTTGCCATTGTCACCCTATAAGGATAACTGAAGTCTTATCTTGTACATTTCTCAGTGCGCTTTTTACATGTTTTTGTTATCAACGACCACCCGACCTCGTTAGCAAGTCCCCCAATCCCTCTCTGTCTCCCCCCAGCTCTGCTCTCCCCCTCTCCATGGGAGCCTGACCTCTGACCTCTGACCCTCACCCTCTCTGTGCGCTCGTCACGGGTCTGTCAGTCAAACAGAGGAGACCCTCCCCTCCTGCTGGGCTGCTGTCAGGTACACAGGGAGACAGAGAGAGGGGAGAAACATTAGATAGAAAGATAAAGAAAGAGCATGAAATAAGTTTGACAGACTTTAAATAATGAAAAAATATAAAATAAAAACATAATAATAAACATAACGAGTTTGTCTACTTTGTTACTTAAGTATATTTTGATGCCAATACTGCCAATCCCACTTTTTACAATTAAATATTGCATATTAGTATGTTTACTTGAAGGGGCTGATATTCAGGTGTATATCAGTATTAAGTGTCTCTGTGACATGTCTCCATGCTTTAATGTTCAAAAAGCACTTTGTCTCATACTGCCTGTGCTGCAGCACCTCTTTTCACCCTCTGTCTGAAACCAGAGCCCAGTCTGCTCTGATTGGTTCTGATTGGCCGGCTCTGTTGGGATTGGTCAACTGTTTAGAGATGTCCCGCCCCTTAGCCTATCACGTACAATGTGTTGGAGCGCTAGCCAATAGACGTGTTATGTAACATAAGTAAACAAAGGAATACATTGGACGTGTTTCAGGCACACAGGAATTTTAGCCTTAGCAGACCCTTTACATGCACAAAAACCTGTATAAAACCCCATAGGAAAGGGAAAATCCAAAAAACCATGATAGGGTGGTTTTAAGTAAAATATACATTATGAGTACTTTGTTCCCCGGTGGTCTGCAGTAGTCTTATCTTTCTCTTGCACAACTAACTCTAAGTACACAAAACCAGAGCCACGTCAGGAATGTCTCTCACCTCAGGGTCTCTTAAAGCAGACGCTCACAGTAGCATAACCTCTGACCTTTGCCTCGACCCCTCACCCACACATGCCCCGTCCACCCCCCCTGAAAAAGTAATGCAAAAAGAAAACTGGAAAACTAAAAGTTCCTCAAAATGACAGCTTACAGCCCTGGAGATCTTCTTTAAAAAAAAAAAATCAAAAGATAACAATATAATTCACTTTCTGAGGGTTCACTGCGTACATCCACAAAGTTTCCTTCCAGTTTCATCTGAAGGTCAAACTCAATCGGTCCCTGCTGTTATTGATTTTTGTTAAGAAATAAATAAATTTATCGGAGATGGCCTTAGATTTTTTTTAAATACAGCAAAGGCACAACACTTTTAAGATTACAATCATAAAATGTCGGGACCATGTATATTAATATTGTAGCTGTCTGAAATAGAGATCATTGTATTACATTTCCTATAATGTTGGTTGGTTTAATTTACTGATTTGTATTTCATATACTCTTCTTAGGTTATAGAGATTAATCTGCAATACTTTGGTTAAAATTGGTTGGTTGTGCAAGAAGTATTACAATATTTTAGTTCAGTAGACGCTCTAATAAAAACACTTGTCACAGGTGAAAGTCATACATAAAAGTATGTAGATATAATCAAGTTAACATACTTACATTAAAAAAAAAAGTAAAAAGTACTCACAGTGCAGCCAGAAGGGCTCTTAAGTTGCAACCTATGGTTGCAACATCAATCCTGGAGCAATGGAGGCCACTGTAATGCAAAGCAACTGCTAACTTAAGTCATCAAATACATGTAGGGAAGTGAAAAAGTACAATCTTCTGACATGTAGTGAAGTAGCAGAAAACAATCAAGTATAGTCAGGCTTCAGAAAACAACACAGCACCATCACTGCCACAATGAAAGTGGTGAATGATGTGGCGAGTATTTTAGATAATAAGCAGAGTTGTGCAGCTCTATTTATTGACCTTTCAAAAGCGTTTGACACCGTCGATCATCACATTTTAAAGCAGAGGCTAGCCAGTATAGGCATGTCCAGCCATGCAGTGGGTGGTTTGTAAACTACCTCTCTGAAAGGTCCCAATGTGTTCACTTTGATGGGCTGTCTTCTGAGTGGTTGAACATTGCAAATGGTGTTCCTCAAGGTTCTGTTTTAGGTCCACTTTTATTCTCCATCTACATCAATAGTTTAGGTGAAAATGTGGATGAAGCTACTTTACATTTTTATGCGGATGATACCGTGATGTACTGTGCAGGTCCCTCCATTAACGAGGCTGGTGTTAAATTACAGGCTGTTTTTAACATTATTCAGGCTCAGCTCTGCTGAACTAAAGCTTCTTTTAAATGTTGAGAAAACCAAGGTAATGCTCTTTTCTAAAGCTAAAAAGACACCAGAGCCTGTTTTAGATATTGTAACTATACGCAAGGAATAAAACTTGAAGTGGTTACCTGTTACAAATACCTTGGTATCTGGCTTGATGATTGTCTCACTTTTAAACTTCATGTCAATAACCTGCTTAAAAAGCTGAGGGTTAGGCTAGGTTTCTTCTACAGGAACAAGTCCTGTTTCTCGCTTGAGGCCAGGAAAAGGCTCTTCACTGTGACCTTTTTACCTGTGCTGGACTATGGTGATTTGATGTATATGAATGCACCTGCCTATTGCCTGGTCAAGTTAGATGCTGCGTATCACAGCGCACTGAGATTTGTGACAAACTGTAAAGCATTA